TCCATCAATTACCTGCCTAATGCACTCCCTCGTACAAGGCTATGAGATTCTGAATGAAAGAAGCTCTTTTACTCACACTGAAGAGAGAAAAATTTGGCAAGGTTGAAGTAAAGTTCTTGATTCTAAAGTAAAATTCATGTCTCTACTATAAATGGCTAAATGGAGTCATGAAGTGGGTGTCACACTCTTTGGGGTATGAGCATTTGGAAACTACTTCACCTCAAAACTATTCTGTATGCCATTCAGTCTTCTAGGTAGGTCGAGTGGTCAGAGATCTATTTAGACATAAGCTCTCACTAATTACAAGATTCTACAACAAGTTTTGCTTATAAGGCCCAAGTCCATCTGGTCAGTAATAAAATGTTAGTTTCCTGACAGGGACCTTTTCCTTGTTTTGAGAGCAATGAAAAGGAATATTTGTTCAGTTCAGGCAGACCCAGCATATAGTCTATTTCTGGCTTTGTGGCCAGGGTCTGTCCCCATTTCTTCTGTAAATGTCATAAGAATCTGTCTAAAGTTTTGTTTGTCTTTTTTCCCTCTGTAATAAACTAAGACATTTCCTTTATGATAGAATGTTCACAATGATCTTAATTCATAACCCAAAATTACAATTTTTTCCCTGTACCATAGATCCTTATTATATAGTTCTTAACTCATAAAATAGTTATATCATTACACGAATGCTACAAAGTGAAGATTTTAACTTTAGTTTGTATAAAAATTACTTTAATAGAGATATTTAAAGGCTGTAAAGAATTTTATAAAAGCAGGATATAGCAGTTTCTTATTGAATGCAAAAACCTTCCTTTTCACCAGAAAAGCTATCATTTTTAACATATACTAGATTCTATTCTGCATGCCTTGGACTCATTCCCATATTTAATTCTCATAATAAATCTATAAGGCATTATTATTACTAAAAATAAATATCATGCATTAAAGAGACAAATCAACATGTTGTCATAAGGTGTTTATACATATGTGTGTGTGTGTGTGTACATGCTAGGCCACTGTCTCAATTTATTTTTAGAACAAAGGAGCCATAAATAAATAAAGCATTAAGAATATGCTTAATTATTAAGTGACTCACTAGGTTATATTGTTAACTCATGTTTAACAGCATTTTAATACTTAATAAATGAATCATTACATTCCTCAGTGAGGACCCTTATCATCCCTCCACTTCTTTTGATCAGGATAACCTAAAGCCAATAAAAAAGTAAAGGATTTTCCAATCTGAAGACTCAGCATTTCTCCCAGAGGAAGACTTTTGGAGTTGAGCGACTTTCTACACTTTAAACTCTTGAAATAAACACCGAGGATGTGAGAGCACCCTCTGCCCCCTGCACTCCTACTAGCCCTGCTCTGACTGTTGTGAAAAGCAGTTTCCTGAGTATACATGTGTGGATGTGAAGGTGTCTGAAATGATAAGCCCAGGACTAAAGAGGAATGTGGAAGTGGCTGGCCTTTAAATGCAAGTAATAGGAATACTGAGGGTAGGGGGAAGACCAGTGCTTTCTCGCCTGTCTGTAGTGACACTGTCCAGCATTGCAAGGACTAATTTTCTAAAGACCTAGTCAAGATGCTCCTTTCTATCCTGGACATACAAGATAGCCACATTTCTGAGAAGAAATGGTAATAAAAGAGAGATGGGATGGTTGGGTTGGGTTGTTATTGCTCCTGTGGTCCTTTCTTGGAAAGACACTAAAACTCTAGAGGGTCTTATAAATGTCCTGTGCAGGGGCCTCCCCGGTGGCGCAGTGGTTGAGCGCTGGGTTGCGAAGCTGCCCGCGGCCTCTGCGGCGCCGGTTCAATCCCTGGCTGCTCCCCGGCCTCCGGAGGAGGGTCCCGCATGGCGTGCAGACCTCTCCTGCCGCCCGCTGCTCCCCTTAGCAGTGTATTTCGGTCCTTCTGCCTGCTCTGCTCCCCGCTCTGGCTCTGGTGAATTCTCTCACCCTCCCGCGCTTCTGACTGTACCCAGTGCATGTATAAACAAAACAAACAAACAAATAAATAAATAAAAAACATGCCTCTATAAAAAAAAAAAATGTCCTGTGCACAGGACTGCACAGCCACCGAAGGATGGTAAAGCTTTCATGTTGGGGCCGAAGTGCAGTTACTGAACACATTATTGTAAAGTGCTATGAACAATGACTCAGAAAGTCACTGCTTACAAAAATACCGCAGTCTAGAGGAAGAGGCAGCTCTATAAGCAAGAAATTAACATGGTTCAAAGGTGCATCGATGAGGATGCTGTCTGAAAAGACATTTGGATAGCACATGGATTCACCCTACTGTATATTCTATAAGGAGTAGACTCTAAATGAGTTATTCCTTTAGACACCTATTAATGAGATTTATCTAAAAATAGGGTTGATAGCGATTTAATTCTGTATTTACTGTTTTTCAGATCTCACTGTTCCACTGACAGTAAGTAGTTTAGCATTGCCAGTTATAAGAGATGGGATGTGAATTTAGATTCCTGGAAAACCCTGGATTCTGGTAAAATACTCTCAGGTATTCTCAATATTTTCTGAAACAGTCTTTGGTGTGAGATAATGACCATATTATTTCACTACAAATTGAATTCGAGGGACAGTAAATCCATTGTTTACTCATTCAATGAGGGGAAAGAATGAGAAATAACTCTAAATTTAATTTTAACTTTCCTAAGTTTAAAGGAATACTACCAGCAAGAATTAACTGAAATAGGTAACAAATACACACTAATGATGTCAATGGAAAAAAAAAAAACCCTTAATTTAGAAAGCAAAATCATCGTAATGCTTCAAATATTTTGCTTTCATTACAAAGAAACTCAAATGAATTTTAGAATAAATTTTATATACACATCTTTAATATGTAAATAACCAAGTTTAATTTTACAATGAACTAGTTTTTTCCTTAAAACTTCATATGCCCCGAAGAATTTCAGAAGTCTAATTGGTAAATTTTCATCATTCTTTATTATGAATTATCAGCAATCATAATAAATAATTTAATGACTAGAAAGTTTTTTATAACTGGTTATCTGTAGTTCCCATTAGTAAATCATAAGAAATATCCCTTACATGCAACTGAACTAAAATCACTGCTCCCTAAAAGACTTAACCATCTAAATGCTTTCTATTATTTACACATAAGGAGATACATCTAAAGTTAATACCTGAGAAGTTAAATAATAATGATCACTATAGGTACAAAAGTGTTTTATGTGACCTTGTTGCATTCATTTCAGGTGTTTATAAACCAATTTTTAATCAAAAATTTGAAATGAAAGTACATTGTAGCCACGGATATTTCCAGATGTTTTTCTAGTGTCAGCCTTGCACATCAGCTATGTGCTGCACCGCCAACTAAAGATAAAACGTCGTCATCATCACACCACACACCGTGACATTCACTTACAACTGAGTACCAGTAAGAAAATATGAAAATTAATTTCTTAAGAATATGCTTCTGCTTAAAACCAATTTAACCTTATCAAGAAATCTTTGTTTCTAAATAAAGAAGCTAAAATTCAATTAAGAATATAGGCCTAACATGTGAATACCATTTACATGATTAAGCAGTGATAACACACTGTTCTGCATTTAATTCCCACACACAGTACTGAACCAAACGTGAAACTGATACTGTGGTGACATTAAATATCCACAGCTTTGAAATGCACTGCCATTTAATTACTACCAAAGCCCTATGCCTCAGCGTTTCCTATTCATCTCTACCATGAGGTTCTTCACATGGTGCTAAGACGAGGACAGTAAAGTGACACAAAGTTGTGGAAAAGAATACAACAATTAAAAAGTCTCTTGCATACTATGGTGAAGTTACTCACATGAACAGAAATGAAAATGATTTGTGTACACTGGCTGGAAAATGAGGCTCTCACTCCTGTCCAAGATTGTACTGTTAGCAATACGACATGTTGCAAACTGCAAGCAGAACCAAACGCACATTCACATCATTAGCATCACTCCTCTGCTCAAAACGAAAAGGAATGTGTGATCAAACTGATAACTGTGTCAGCTCGGAGAGTAATTTTCATTTGGGGTCTCTCATGCTCTAGTAGACTTGATGCTGGACACTGCTAAACTATTCTGCTCTATTCAAAGTCCGGAGCACAGATGTACATAAGCAAAAATTACTTAAATGGAGACGTGTTTTTTCTTGTCAGCACATCCCAGGGATGAAGAGGAGGAGGAAAGAGCAGCGGGAAGCTCACTGACCAGACTGCTATTTCCATACTAGCCACTAAAACACTCAGCCATTTTTTTTAACCAACTTCCCATCCCCAAAATGCTTTAGGACATATCTTTTGTTGCTGGTGTTACTGGAAATATCTCCTCATTTTCCTGTGTGAATATGGCAGTGATAAATGATCCTTACTCAAATAAGAAATTTAGAGAACTATAAAGTTAAAATCATCTGTGATGTCACCACTCATAGACAAGCAATCAAGATTTGGGGAGCATCCTTCCAGACTCTCCACTCTTCCCACATGACCCTGCCCTCCTACCCCACGCAGCCAATGTCCTCAAGTCTTCACTCAGTGCTGAATGGAGGCTTGTGCTAAAAGCAGTATGGGTAGCACAAGGGGAAACAAGCATTCGAATTCTTATCTATGCTTCATTTTTTGGACTGTCAGACAAGACATATGAAGAAAGTTAAACTTACTGATTCCATAAAAATCACCCTGAAACACATTTCAAATATATTTTCTTTGGAAGTCTTAAAGATTATTTATCTTTTCTCTCTTGGCAAGTGCCAAGTGCCAAGTGCCCTCCACTGTACATGGAAGAGAAGTAAATGTACCCTGTGCAGCAAAGAAGACTTGGCGAAGCATTTGGGAAAATTTAAACATATTTAAAATTTCAAACAGGACAAATGGGCATTACAGTTGTTAGTTTAAAATATTTTTTAATCTTTGAATGGATAGTTTATAGTTGATCTGTGTCCCTCTGTTCCAGTGAACTAGTATAGATCTTAAAGATGCTGTCATGAAGCGCCGAGCCGGCCAGCGGAAGCCGGCCACCTCCTACGTGCGCACCACCATCAATAAGAACGCGCGGGCCACGCTCAGCAGCATCCGCCACATGATCCGCAAGAACAAGTACCGGCCTGACCTGCGCATGGCCGCCATCCGCAGGGCCAGTGCCATCCTGCGCAGCCAGAAGCCGGTGATGGTGAAGAGGAAGAGGACCCGCCCCACCAAGAGCTCCTGAGCAGCCCCCCAGCAATAAAGGTGTCCCCTGACTCCAAAAAAAAAAAAAAAAAGATGCTGACTGCTTACACAGTATTCTACAGTATGAATGCACCACTGTTTTTGTTCTGCTCTTTTCTTATTCACAGGCATTTGCCTTCAATGTTTAGCTTCTAGGAAATGCTAGTGTAAAAAACAACTTGGTCATCAGCACTGGGGAAGAATAAATAAGTTTATCCCTAAATTTACACTAGTAGTAATTACCATTTTTTCTCAAACTGATGACTGTAAGTGCCATCTTGTCCTTAAATTGTGTGGTCTTTGCTTTTAGAAATTGTGAACATTTGGTAAATATTTCTGGCCATTTGGATTTACTCTTGGATGATTATTTTATGTCTTGTTACCCATCATGTTCTGCTCTTTTTAGAGTGACACTTCATATCCTACTTACAGTAAGTCAGTTGACTGTTTTATTCTAATTTTTGTTATATTTTTACATAGATGTAACTATGTATATCTAGCTATCTATATATGTGTTTATGCATGTATATATACAAAACATGTATATGTGTGGGAGTTACACATTTGTTGTTTCATTTCAAAGATTGCCTTTTTTGGTAATTACTGATATAATCATGATTTCTTCTTTTAAGCTAATGATTTTGAACTTCCTTTAATTACTTGAATATAGCTGCCTAGCAATACATTATTGCTCTATTTTTTCTCATACCACTGTACTATATGCAGTTTTTGGTCTTTTCCCAGAAGTTCATAAAAGACTATTTATCTTTACCATTCATCAGTATGTCTGAATATTAATATGATAACAGGAAGCAACTCTATCATTTTCATGGTCTGGGATATTTTAATGATTGCGGTTATATTTTCTTTGAATACTCTGCTATTAAATAGAGATTGTAGAAAACAATTACACAACATTCCTTGTGCATCAAAAGTGTTTTTAAGATTTTTACATTTATTAACGTATTTAGTCCTTTTAATCACATGAGATAGGAACTATTGCCACCTGCATTTCACATAAAGGAAAAGTGAACCAGAAAACGTTCATTCTCCTTGCCCCTATTCAAACATCTGTCACAAGCTAGAATAAAGTTAAGCAGAGACATCTCAATCCTCATGGTAGCAGACTCCATCTCACTATGCCCAGGACTGGTACAAAAAGACAAACAGACCAATGATACAGAATTGAGCGTCCATAAATGAAGCCACACATGTATGGACAGTTATTCTGTGACAAATGAGCCAAGACTACAATGGAGAAAGAAAACAAATGGTGCTGGAAAGCCACACACACACAAATGAAGCTAGGTATTTGTTAGCACCATTTACAAAAATTAAATACTTGGATATAAGAGGAAAACATTGGTAAAATATATGAAGCCATAAAATATATGAAGAAAAGATAGGTAAAACCACGCCAGGTAATCGACCTCAAAAATGAACAGTGTAAAAATTTAAATAAATTTATTTTAAAAAGTCCTTGGAGACCTCACCTGTAATGGCAAGAAAAACAAAGCAAAAACAAATAAATGGGAATACATCAAACTAAAAAGGTTTTGTACAGTGAAAGAAATGACCACAAAAATGAAAATACCTAGTGCCTGGGAGAAGATATTTGCATATCATATATCCAACAAGAGCTTAATATCCAAAATATACAAAGAACTCATAAAATTAAACAACAAGAAAATGAATAGCTCAATCAAAAATGGGCAGATTTGAATAGACACTTATCCAAAGATACAGATGGCTACATCAATCATAGATGGATGATTTTCAACCTTCCTTCTTGTCCTGTGTATTTTTTTAAAGCTGAAATTCCCCCCATGCACTGTTTTAGCCAAGTTTCATATTTTTAAAAAACACTTCCACTAGTAACTAGTACACTGTAATTTATCTTGTGTTACGCATACAAATAGCATTTAGACAAGCTGATGAGAATACGGGTGACATACTTTCATTATCTGAATAGATGTCTCAGCAAGATTTAGATGACACATAGGCTCCCCAATTCTATGTGTGCCCAGAGAAAGCATTTTCTTTATTTTTAGGGAAGAACATGGGATAGCAAAACTGTGAGATGCTGTGATCATTACCTACGTCCCAAAGTTATAAAACTGACTTCCCAGGTTTTCCATGCTGTAAGATCCAAATGCAGAAGGCATGTCTAGATTTTTGCCAAGAAAACTATATAATTCAATGACACTATTTTCCAGACAGAGATTTTAAGAAGCATGTACATCAATGGTGGCACTATTACTCCTGGTTCAGTTCTGAAAATACAATTTCGCAAAGCCAATGTGTGATGCTTTAAATGGCATACGACAGCCTGGAGTGGGCTGACATATCAACCAACATTTAGTATTATAAACTGGGCTTGAACAGAAGAAAATGCTACCAGGAGAGAAATACAGATTTGGTTCCTATCAGAACTGAAGACACATATTCACCCCTTATTAATGAAATAAAAACCAACCAGGAAGACCTAATCTCCAAGAGCTATAACGCAATACATTTAAATTTCAGGTTTGCAAATTACATCAGAAGGACAGAGTATGTTATCTTGTAGGCAGCACAGAGAGAAACCTCCCAGCTCAGATGGGCTCTCGGTGATCACTCAATTGGGCCAAAAGAAATTATAACTTTATTTCAGCACTAAAGCCTCTTAACTTACTTAGGACTTAACCCTTTCTATCATCTATCACTATGAAATTGTTACTCCCTATTACCTTGCTCAAATCATTTGTCTTTCTATTACTAATAATTACGCAAAGGTGCCCTTTTACTGCCTCTTTATTTCCAGTAAGTCAGCTATAATTACCAAGCAGCTTCCTATCTCCAACACGGCCCCATTTGTAAAATCAAATCCATTTTACAGCTCATTTTACAGCTCCGGGGTTAGTTGTAACAGGTGATAGCTCCTGAGTGAAGAGATTAATATATCTTTTCCTAAACATCTAAAACATTTGCTCAGCTAAGTTTTGCTAGGGATTTTAATATTCTTCACCACTTCAACCATCTGACTTGAATAGAAATAACAAGAAATGCCACTCATACTTGAACTCTGGTCTGATTTGTGTGGGATGTACTCACATTTGCATCGTGAAGGTCCAGTTTTAATTCATTTTACATTCATCTGCCAAAAGATACCTTCATATTGATTTCATGACAAATAGTGACTGAGAACCTTAGTTTCTTGACCCCTGCTTTATTAGTCATTCAGTAAAAAGAAAAAAAGTTAGCAGAAACACTACCCTAAAGGAAAAGAAAAGATGCGCAACAGCTGAAGATCAAGCATTCTATTTATTTAATGTACTTTCTTTTATAAGAAGGTATTCGAAACCCCATAAAATATCCAATTACAAATGTGAGTCTATTTGTATATATAATTTCAATTCTATGTTACATGTACAAAATTAGTCAATTTTTTCCATGATTAGATTCAGAAAACTTTAAATGTGAAAACTGGATCTTATTCTTATGAAATACGTTATTCTCACTGTCCACATAGAGAAATCAATAGAAAATAAATAACTTTTAATAACTGTGATGTATCCTGATTCAACATATGGTACTTCTGGATAGTTTGACTTCGCACCTTCCCAATGGTATTTCTGAACAAAAGGACACAAGTTAAAGAGGAGAAGTTTGCATGTGCAATTTTCTCTGCACTCCAGAGAACTGTTGTGAAATAATTTATGAATTAACAAGTTGACTACAAATGACTAATTTATCAAGTCTGAGTCATTAATCTTCCTATAGCCATTGGTGATAATATCAACTGATTACGAAAATATAATGATCAATCTATATGAAAGGGTTTTAGCAGCTGAAAAGCCCCGATATTGCACTAAATGTACAAGCCCTTAAAAAAATTGACAAATCTGACATCTCCAATATTAGCAATGTCTGCTCTTTGAAAGACATTAAATAAATTAAAAAACAAGCCACCGACTAGGAGAAATTATTTGTAAAATCTAATAAAGACCTGTCTCCAGAATTTAAAGACTCTCAAAATTCAATACTGAGAAAACAAACACCACAAGAAAAATGGGCAAAAGATTTAAATGGGCATTTTACCAAAGATGATATATGAATGACAAGCAACTATATAATAAGATCTTTAGCATCTTCAGTTATTATAGAAGTATAAACTAAAACTAAAAGTGTCTAGTTCAATGCTGTTCTTGAAATTGAACAGTCTTGATAAATCAATCAAAAGTATAATAAATATACTTAATGTGGGCCTCCCTGGTGGCGCAGCGGTTGAGCGCTGGGTTGCGAAGCTGCCCGCGGCCTCTGCGCCGCCGGTTCGATCCCCGGCTGCTCCCCGGCCACCGGAGGAGGGTCCCACATGGCGCGCAGACCTCTCCTGCCGCCCGCTGCTCCCCTCAGCAGTGTGCTTCGGTCCTTCTGCCTGCTCTGCTCCCCGCTCTGGCTCTGGTGAATTCTCTCACCCTCCCGCGCTTCTGACTATACCCAGTGCATGTATGCATATATGTATAAATCAATCAATCAATCAATAAATAAATCTTAAAAAAAAATAAAAAAAAATAAATATACTTAATGTTAGGATACAGTTTTTTCCAACCTTTCTTTGGAACAATCATAATGTATCACCTATTATTCAAAGAAATACAAAAATGTCAACTCTACAAATTAGTTTTGGTTCAATTTAATCAATAAATGTGAAAGGCAGTCTCGAAGTGGGCAAGGAAATGTTGAAATTTTGATAATGGAGAGAACCATCGTGACAGGCATCATCTTTGGTAAAGTGTCTATTCAAATATTTTGCCCAAGAAGATGATATACAAATGACAAGGAACTACAGGATAAGAAAACCGGCATCATTAAATAAATGTTTCCTACTGACACTTCTTGTGTTGCTGGATCTGATATGGAATATTATAGAATTCCACCTGTCACCTGCCCAAGGATATCACCCAATATGACAGAAAAACATCCACCGTGGCATGAGTCCAGCCTACTTCCTACTGTCCATCATGGACACTGGTAGCCTTTTTCCCAAATAGACAATGTG